ATGAGGATGTGAGGGAAAACAATACAGTTATAAATATGCATTTAYACATTATTGTTGAAATGGTAAATTAGTACATACACTTAAGAATGTAGTATGGAGAATTTTTCAAAGACTAGGAATGGAATAACTATATGACTCTTGTGTACCACACCTATTTATCCAAAATAACTAAAATCAGCATACTAGAGTGATATATGTATGCCAATGTTTASAGCAGTGAAATTCACAATACAATAACCGAGTTATTGAATCACCCTAGGTGTCTGTTAACAGGAAAATAGATAAAGAAAATGCAGTATATACACAATTGACTTTTATTCAACCACAAAGAAAAGTAAAATTATATCATTTGATGGTCAATGAATGGAATTGAGAACATCATGCTAAGTGAAATATGCCAGCCCCAGAAAGGCAAAGATTGAATGTTGTCTCTGACTAGAGAAAGCCAGAGAGAAAAAAGTAATGAATTTTAAATAAAGGATCTCATAAAAATAGATGTGAGAACAATAGAATAGATAGAGGGGAGAAAGAGGAAAGGAAGAGGTGATGGCATAGGGTAGTACTGGAGAACAAAATCTATCAGACTATGCTACCCAGGCATGACTATACCACAACAAAGAATCTGAACCTTTTATATTACACTAATTAAAATAATAATAACAACAATCATAATAATAATAGAGGGGAGATCAATAGAGTAGAGCAAGTAGATCAGTGGCTCATCTATGGGAAAGGAAGGTATCAATGAATGAGATTGATCAAATTATGTGCATGTTTGAATAAGCATGATGACTACTCTCAYTATTATATAAATATATAATGTACCAATAAAAATTTAAAAATMAAAATGGATGGCATTGGAGAAGATAATGCTAAGTGAAGTTCGCCAATACCAAAAAAAAGWAATGCCAAATGTTTTCTCTGATATAAGGAAGCTGAGTCATAGTGGGGTAGGGAGGGAGAGCTTGGGAGGAATAGATGGATTCTAGATAGGGAAGAGGGGTGGGAGGGAAAGGGAGAGGCAGGAATTAGCAAGGGTGGTGGAATGTGATAGACATCATTATGCAAAGTACATGTAATTGAATTGAAGACATGAATTAATGTGAACATACTTTATATAMAAATAGAGGTATGAAAAATTGTTCTATATGTGTAATAAGAAATGTGATGCATTCTGCTGTCATGTATTTAAAAAATAAAACCAATAAAAAAATTCAACTAAAAAGAGAGACTTAATGGGGTAGGTTAAAAAGACATGGTGTAATAAATTTACATTCATAGAAAGACAAGTGTATAGGATACCCATTGAGCAGGGATGCTAGTGCCATTGATGGGATAGGTAGAATAAAAGGAAAAAAAACTGAATAAAGTATAAACTTGAAAGAAATGAAACTATATCTCATCTACAATCAAAGGATATATGCTGAAGATGGAATGGGTGTAGAACACTAATAAAATCCAGATTGAGGAGAGTCTGKAGATCTATATACATATATTTGAATGACATCCATATATAAATAATTGTTCAWGTAATGGAAAGACAGTTTTAACTCAGTAAAGATGCAACAAAGTAGTGATCTAGAAGTGTAAAAAAATGTTAGAAGTTCATTTTAAAGGACAGAGAACAAATTGGCATTAAATATCCTAAGAAGAACTGACAGAGTGATAGGAATGAAGTAATTCAAAGAAAAAAATAGTAGAAAGATAACTAAGTTTTGATATTGCTATAGTTTAAAAAATAAACATTAAGCTGAGAAACTCATGGATATTATCAAACTCCATGCCTCAGTATCATAGTTTCAGTGAAATTGTTTGTGTGTAAAGTGTTCAAATTAGGCCATTAAGTTTCAATTCACCATAGAAAATTTTTAAAAAGTCTATGTTGAAAACACAGTCAATGATGTCTAGAAAATATACAGAAAGATTTTGATGAAAAATAAATTTTAGAATAAGTAAAGCAAGGGATGAGAAGGCCTTGRAGACTAGCTTTCCTAATACATTCATACTTTTCATCATGTGGCTGACACTTCCTAATCTCAGGACCCAGTCAACACTAACTGAATGTCTTTTTTTCACACAGCCATGGACASAAGCGAGCAGACGCCTGATGAGCCTCTCCTCAGAAGCAAAAGGAGGCAAGATCTTCCAGAGATGCTCAGAGAAGTGGGACTGGAAGTTGAGTACTGGTTGATCAAGCTGAAGGAAGTCCTGGTGTGACCTGTGCCCAGTCATTACAATCATTAAAAGAAAAAGACCTCCAGAAGCTGAAATATGAGGTAAAATATCCATGGGAGAAAAGGGCCTTGAATAAACTGCTTGACCTGTCCCACTCAAATAGTCTTGCAGAGTTACAGGAGTCACCAGTGGAGAGGAAAAAGGAGAAGCAGGCAGAACAAGCAGTGAAAGAGCTGAGGAACTTGCTGTCAGAAAGGAGACAGAGACAGGAAGAGGCAGTGAAGAGAAAGGAAGCAGAGCTGAGGCAAGCCATGGAGATCCCTGAAGAGAACAGGYTGAAGCCTCCAAAGCCCCTAAGGGAATTCATGGAAATTATGAAGAAAGAACTCAGTCCCATGGAGCAGACGCCATCCCACAGGCCAAACCTCCCAGATACAGATCTGGTAAGATGGGCATCTRGAGGGCTGGCCCTGCAGGGAATATACAAAACCTGCCACCACATGGACCTGATACAGAGGAGAGAGGAGCTGCTCAGTGTCCCCAAGGAGTTCTCACTCYTTGGCCCTCAGCAGGGCACATTGATGAAATCTGAAGAATTTACATCTTCTCAAGCAGAAGTCATGTTCACCCAGTCTATGGAGAATTTAGGCTTCAGTTTAACTACTTCAGCCAAGGGTGGAGGTTGGGGATTTAGTTTAGAAACTGAACTGGATAAAAGCAAACATTCAGAATCCAAGCAAACCCACCTAACAAATTCTGAGTGCTCTTATTTCTGCTCAACCAAGTTCAGATACACTCCCATGGCATCCTGCAATTTCCCCATTGATCAACTCCAGTTGTCCAATGCTGCTCTTCAGGAATTGAAATGCCTTGAAGACCTTCAGGATCAGATTACAGACCCTCAGGAATCCCAGGTGCTGAAACACTGGAGTGAAAGATTCTTCCACAGGTTTGGCTCTCATGCTAACCAAGGCCCTCTGCACCTGGGAGGAATCTACTGGTGGAAGGCTGTCTCAAAGGGGTTCCAAAATTATCACCTAGTTGATATAAAGCAGCAGGCAATAGAGGCCCTGGATTTTTACATAAGTGGTGGCTACCATGGTTTTGGAATGAATGTTGCTGCAGGTATGAATGTGTCAGACTCACATTCAAAAGCAGCTGTTCAGAACAAGACTTTTCAAAACCTCCAAACCAAATTCCAATTATCTGTATCCAAGACAGGTGGACCACCAGAAGCAGATGACCTTGCTCAATGGAAAGCTGGCCTTRTTGCCAGCAATCAAACCTGGTGTGTCATTGATCGGGGAATTCAACTGGTGCCTATTTGGGACATCATCCTCTCCAGATACAGAAGTAATTTTAAGGATCCCCTTAAGGTGGCTAATTGCCTGAGAGACAATTACACTTCTCTGACTGGTTTCTCCACACAGATCCAAGAGGGAGAGGAGTTACTGAACATTAGGCAAGAGGTTAGAGTTTTCCTAGATGGTGTGAAGTCCTGGGTGGTGTCTGATCCAGAAAAACAATTTCAAAAAATGATAGATTTCATGCAAATATTGAGTCAAAAAACAAAAGGTGATGACACTTGGATTAATCTATGCCTCACAGATAAAGATCTGCAGATCTTTTTAGTCAATACTGTCAACTTTTGCAAAATGTCTTTAAATTATAAAACAAAATGTATTAAAATGCTCTTGGGTATTCTTCTTGATCCTCACATCTACAAAGTGGAAAATTTTCCTCAGACTCACTCCATTATGCACTGGATCAACCAGCCAGAGTCAGAAGAAGAACTTGTCAAATGCTTCCAATTTTCTGAATTTATTAATATTATAAAGGATACCCAAAATGAAGTCTTGGAAGTAAAGGTAAAATCTGAGTCTCCAGAATCAGTTGAAAAAGCTCAAAGAAAGGCCACATATAAGGTCAGCTTGGCTCTCAACAGCTTCCTAAATCACCTCCAAGCATCAGAGCAGACAGACACAYAGCTCTTGCTACTTTCCATTGCAGCTGGTGCAGGATATCAGGTGGTAAGTAATAATTTTCGACATCTTCTGAGCCATGATGAGTTAAACTTCCTTCTGGATAAAATGCAAACTGCCTACAATAAATACCAGCAGCTGAAAACCACTTCCAGCTCCAGGGCACATGCATTTCTGGTGTTCACAAGTCTGACAGCCACAGCTGGTGTCACAGTTATTTCACCAGAAGAGAAGACAAAACGCATGGAATTTATAACAAAACATATGGAACAATTCTTTTCTGAAGAAGTTGTGCATGTCCTCACTAAATGTGGGGCAGCTCATGATTGGGAAAACTTAGAAAGAGACTTAAGTCTACTCATTGATGGAGATTATGAAGCTACCATCTCTTCTGTGAAAATGGATGAGGTCAAAAGAGAGCTACAAAGTCTTCTTGATGAAAAGAAACAGCCCTTCGAACCAGAAACTAATACAAATAACACACATGAAATAATAGAAAATGGAGCTTTCCTGGACTTACTCCAGCGTCTTGGCCTAGAACATTACTACCCAAAAAGGATGARTAGAGCTGACTTYCATCTGATCTACAAGCCTTCYGTGTGCAACACTCAGCCCAAATCTGAACAGGAACTTCCCTTTTATTTCCTTCAGAAGCCACTGATGCTGGATTATAGATTGAGATACCAGGTTTTCAAAGAGGATGGAAACATAGAACATCAGGTCTCTCCAAGTATTTCYAATCAGGAAAATGGAGCTAGTAATCCATATGAAGACTTTTTTGAAGATGATGATAGTCTCACTAATACTTTGATCATTGAGTCCAAGCCCCACATTCACCCCATGGATATTCAGATGGCCATTTTTCACTGTGCAGATGATTTTGCCAGACAATATATTTTAACCAAACTTTCCATTTGTCAATTTGCCCTGCCCCTCCTGGTGCCAAATCCCTGCACTTCTCAAATTGAATTCTCTGTCTGGTCTCTCAGACAAATTAGGCGAAGTTGGCAACAAGCAAGGGAATCACCACAAGGGAAAAATAGTCACCAAAGTCAGCAGATGTGTCGTGTCTCCACTCCCTTTGTGTCCTTCATTAGAGTTGGCAGTGGCCTCTCTGCTTCCAAATCTCAGATCATGAACTGTCTTCTCAGTGAACACAAACATGATGTGTTTTTCCACCGACACTGCAGAGAAAGCAGCAAGAACTGCCTCTTGATGGGGGGTGTGGTGGAAATCTGCTGGTTCTTCCCTGGTGGGGAAGAGGAAGACAGGTTTGACAAGTGTGTGACCTTCACCAATCTTCATGGAGATGCAAAGGAAAATAAAAGGCAGCTCACTTTTCTGCAGGAGGTCTCTTCTATCATTGCGGTCCTCATGTCAGCTTCTGATGACAATGAAGAAAGCCGAGCAGTTGTTAATGACTTGTGGCAGTCCTCAAAATCATTGATCTGCTTGCTTGATGACAAAGAAAAATCCAAATCCAATTATTCTGATAGAAAGGTGAAAATTGGTATGAAGAGCAAAAATGGTGCAGAAGTGACAGAGGAACTCACAACTGCCATCAGACATTTGCTAAAGTTCTCTGACACTGCTCTCAGCATAGAGGACTGTTGTCATATTGCTTACCAGAAAGGATTTTTTATTGATGAAGACCAGAGTGATTTCAAGGAAGTCAAGAAAAAGGCACAAATTATAAGGGATCTCCTAGGACAAACAGAGTTGACTCAAGTGAAGGAAAATTTTCTTCCCCTTCAGGGACAACTGTGGCAACTTTGGTGTAGGAAGGACAAAGAACTTTATCATCTGAGAGAGAAGGGAAATCGAAGCATTGAACAACACAAGAGTGAGATTGAGACAGATAAACAAAGAATAAGGCAACAACAATTGGAAAAAGCTTTTCCTCTAAAAGATGTAATGAAATTTGTGCTTCAAATTCTCTACAAGTATTCAGAAACTCACACTTTACTCTACTTCTTACAATGGATGAGTATGTTTTTGGATATYCTGACTGCAGAGCATTTGAAAAATCTGAATGAAAAATTAATTCATTTGTTTTCAAACATACAAACAGAAAAGCGAATATCCCAATACAGCAACTCTTTGAAACTCTTACAACATCAAATAGAATCCATCTCTACCAAGATTACTGATTGTACCTTAGGAATTGAGCAATTTCTCAGAGAAATTGGCCAGATCTATGAAGCTCTGGAAGAAACTTCTTCTACAAGAGATATACTTTTTCTCTTCCTTCCCCAAATTGCTGCAGACCTGATGATAGCTGGTGTTCCCATAGAGCTGATTGATGGGGATACTTCCTATGTGCCCCTAAAGTGGATGGCAGCTGTTTTTGACAAGCTCTCTGAGAAACTGGGAGACAAACGGCTCTTTGTTCTCTCTGTCCTTGGCCTGCAGAGCTCTGGGAAGTCCACCCTACTGAATGCTCTTTTTGGGCTGCAGTTCAATGTAAGTGCAGGCAGGTGTACCAGGGGGGCCTACATGCAGCTCCTAAAGGTGGATGAGTCATCAACAGAGGAACTTGGCTTTGACTTTGTGCTGGTTGTAGACACAGAAGGACTTYGGGCCCCAGAACTCAGCAACAAATCCCAGAATTGGGACAATGAGTTAGCCACCTTTGTCATTGGACTTGCAAACTTGACTCTGATCAATATATTTGGGGAGAATCCATCAGAAATGCAAGACATCCTACAGATAGTAATCCAAGCCTTTCTGAGGATGAAACAAGTGAAAATCTCCCCAACTTGCATATTTGTGCATCAGAATGTAGGAGAAGTGACAGCTAAAGACCAAACTATGGATGGACGAAGGCGGTTAGRGCAGAGGCTAGATGAAATGGCAGCACTGGYTGCTAAACAAGAAGAGTGCTCAGATGTAACCTGCTTCAATGATGTCATCAAGTTTGATGTCAATACTCACGTGTACTACTTTGCTCACCTCTGGGAKGGCAATCCCCCCATGGCCCCTCCCAATCCTCGCTATAGCCACAATGTCCAAGAACTGAAAAGTAGAATCCTTTTGACTGCCAAACAGGAATCCAGAGGAAGTATCATGAGGATATCAGACATAAAATTCGGAGTTCAAGATTTGTGGAGAGCCCTGGGAAGTGAGAACTTCATTTTCAATTTTAGGAACACCCGAGAGGTCATGGCCATGAGCAAACTAGAAACCATGTATAACCACTGGACCTGGGAACTCAGGAGTCATATGTTGGACTTGCAGAACCAGCTTCACAATCAGATTCAGAATAGAAAAATTCTGACACTTATAGCAAGCATGATTAAGGATCCAGTTGTAAAGATAGATGAAACCATCAAGCAAGAATTTGAAAAATATTTTATTGAAGACACAGAGAGCTATATACTCATCCAATGGAAAGCCCATTTTGAAAATAGGCTGCTATTMCTTAAAGAGTCACTTATTTTGGACRCTAAAAGAAAAGCCAATGAACTTATTMGTCTCAAAGAAAGTCAAGAACAACTGGAACAGAAAAAGAAGGTATATCAAAATGAATTACTGGATAGGAGCCAAAAATTGGCTTTAAGTTTAAATGGTGAAAAATTGAGTGATGAAGATTTACGTGAGAAATTCAACCAAATTTGGGGAAAATGGGTCTGTGAAGTGTCCTCAAATGTCCCTCAAGCCATAGAGCCTAACATTGATGTGGATGCTGAAAACATCCTTTTAGATCATTTCAAAAAGGAGAAAAACATAGTAGAAAAAATAAAGAGAAATACTAGAGAGGATTTTCAAAYAGATTTTGTAAAACATGTCAAGATTTGTCCAGAATATTGCAGTTTCTCAAAGAATTTAGAGGCCTGTGATAAAGTGCCCATTAATATGACTACTGAACGCATTTTTTCAAGATTTGATGAATCTATTAACAGCATTTGGAGTCACCAACGTGATTATCATCAAAGTGACTTCCATGAAATCCTGAGAGTAGTAGAAAATGAAGTGAATTCTGCACTCACTAAGGACAGATATATATTTACCGGTGAATACAAAATTGAATTATGTTGGTGTTTATTTTGTAGAGCATCAAAACATTTTAAGGAAATTCACAGAGCATTMAAAATAGCAAATGATCCTGTAAGGTATCTAGAAAACAAGAAAGATGATTTTTTCATGAGTTTCAAGATCTTCTGCCAAGGTGCAACCTCCATCACGTCTTTTGTTGATTTTCTCTGGCAGAAGCTCACTCCTGCTGTCTCTGACACCATATGGGGGAATATGTGCCTGAAAATAACTGGGGACATACAAGCTACCTGCCCTGCCTTCAAWGGAAACAGGGCTAACCTGGAGAAACACATTCTCATCTCTCTAGCAGAAGAAGAAAATTTTGATAGTTATTGGCAATACATTCATAATCCAGAATCATTTTTTAGGACTTACATTAGAAACAAAACCACAAAGTACTTTTCAGTCAACAGAGGTAAAAATATAAAGATATTTTTTAAAACAAGTTTGGAGGACATCAAWTCTGCCATCCTGTCTGCCATTYATGAATCCACAGCAGTAGCTAAAGATAAAAGCAGCACTGCATCTGAGTGGCTGGATTTGTTCTGTGACTACCTGGGGAACAAGCTGATCTTCCCACGAAGAGACTTGATAAGCATTGAGCACCAGGAAATAAAAGATATGGAGTTTCTCAAAGAAGCCATGAGTGCAGCTTTGGATCCTGCAATGAAAAAAGTAGAAGAAATTTTTTCAAGTAGGAATATAGATAAAATGGTTCCTGAAATTGAGAAAACCCTCTCTGAACATCTTTGTGGTTGCTGGAAACAGTGTCCCTTCTGTAAAGCAATTTGTACAAACACAATTCCTGAACATGATGGAGACCACAGTGTTCCATTTCATCGTCCTCGGGCTGTCAATGGAGAGTATCAATATAAATCAGAGCACTTTGTCATTGATTGTTGTACTAGTTTAGTAGCAAGTGATTCTTCGTTTATTTTGAGAGATGTTCAGGAATTTTCATATAAGGAATATCGGCAGGCAGGAGGGAATTTTGCCACATGGAGCATCACCCCAGATTCATCCACCCAACCATACTGGAAATGGTTTGTCTCTCAYTTCAGATCAGAGCTAGAAGAAAATTATGAGAAAAAATTTACTGACCTTGGTAAAATCCCTGATGAATGGGCAAAAATCACAAAGCAAGATGTGCTCAATGATTTGAATAAACAATAATCCTCAATGACCACATAAGATCCTTAGCATCTGAACAATGTCACACTATATATCAACCTTAAAACACATCCTYCTTACAACTAGAACTTTAAATATTCCACTTCACTTCAAGTGTTTAAGAGTTCCTGAAAAAGTATTTAATATCTCTCTTCCTCAATTCTGTCTGGATTAGAAAGAAATTACTAAAATAGGACCATATGACAAAATCAAATGAACTATATAGAAAATCTACTTCCTAATTTGAAGTATTTTCCTGAGTACTCTTTAAAGATAAATAATACCTCCGAGAAAGTCATCTTCATACAGAAAATTTAGAGTCATTGCATGATGCTCAAAGTCCTGTGGAGTGACTGCATCATGCAGTTGAACAAATATACAGATCTTGAAACTTTTCTCTCCTTTCATGAACATTTTCAACCTTTCAAATCATGAAGAAAATTTACTCACCCTTAAATACAAAAGCATCTATGAAAATTTTGTGATTCCCACATAAAATGTTATTTAAGCATATTTTATTCTAGCAAAGGACAAACCAGAGAATTGACCAGGATAGAGTCTTCATCAACTCAGGAAAACTTATCAAGTAAATATTGGAAATAGAAATCAAATAACTGTTTACTTCATTTAATCAACACTCGTTGGAATAACTTTCAGTTTGCTGCTAGCTGCTACCAGCAGCTCAGAGAGCTAGGAAAACCCTTGTTTGTACAGACCTGACAGGAACACCTTCAGGACAGGGTGCTCTACTCTGGCGAGCCATCAGTGAAACCACATTCTTAGTGCTTGAGGTCAGCGTTGCCAACTGAGAGTTAGGTGCTTCAGGGCATGAAATCCCAGACTCATAAGGCCCCCTCCCCTAGGGACAATGATCCTTCCAGTCTGCCTTCCACCGCCTAGCAATATTTAGAGCTTCCTCATAGTGCAGCTACATTAATCATAAGATGATGGGTTTCTAGATATTTTATAACCTGCTTGCTTATGTATGATTGGAAGATGTGTTCTATATCAATTGCAATCACTTCCGCATTAAACCTGCCAGCTCTCACCAGCTCCTGGTGTCTATGTGTTGACTCCGCAYCTCTACCTGCCACAACTGAGGTAGCCGATTGACCAATTTTGATCACACCAGTAACCAGAACATACATAAACACTTTCTTCTTCCTGGTTTCTTGGAACTTCTCTGTTTATGTTACAAAACTTTGAGGTATTCACAAAATTATGTCTTCAAAGCCTGTATGATTTTGAGAGGGATTAAAACTGAAACAAAATGTATTATAACCATGTAAATGTGACCAGTCTGTGGACAAGGTCAAATTTAATTAAGCCATCAATGATTACAAATACTATCTTTTAAAGAAAAAATTTTTAAAAAAATATGTACTTTTAAAAAAAATCTAATAATAATTAACCTTAATTGAGTTTTAATATTTCAATAAAAATTCATTTTTTATATTTAAAAATATAAAGGAGTGCTTATCTTCAATTCAGACAGATTTGTGGCTCTTTATACTATGGCATTCCTAAGGGAATTGCCCTTATACCTTGTGGCTCAGTTCTCAAAGCTGATGACCTAAAGGAATTCTGATGCAAAAAGAAAATTTCCTCATTTTATACATAAAAGAAATGTTTGGTTTCCCTTTGCGGGTACAGTCTCTACCTTTTCATGGGAAGTTAAAACAGCCCAAGGGACAGCAACTAAACAACTTGGATCTTCAGAGATGAGAGATAGGCATGCTGACTTAATCTCCTCTGTCTGCCATAGACCTACACATATATTATCATTTTCAGATCAACAGAGTACGATCTCCACAAGTTTTCTGTTGGTTTGTTGTAAGCCTGTGAATTGAACCCTGGCTTTGCACATGTCAGGAAGCACACTATTTATGAACTATACCCTTTTATTATTTTTCTGAGGTGAGGTTTCATTAAGATGAAATTTGTGATACTCCGGCCTCAGTGTCCCAAGTAGCTGGTAATAAAGATTATTTGTTACCATGCTAGCTTTCAGAAGTCTTGAAAAAGAAAAATTATAAAGGATGTAGGTGTCCTTGAACAGGATGATTTTCTCTTTTCTCTCTGAAAAAATACTTTTGGTGGGAATTGGGAGGGTCTCTTAATGAAATCAACTGAAGTAGCAATGGGAACAGAAGCCCTGCACAGCATAGTGCCTGTCACTCTCATCACTGCAAGCTTTCAAATTAATTTTCAAATAAATTGAGCAGTGCTCAAATAATATTTGCTGCATGCTTCTTATATTCAACAAATCCATAAAGCCTTTATGTAAGAAGTATCATATATTACTTTTGATTTACAAGCCAAAAATATGTGGTGTAACTGAAAAGGTTTTTAATAAACTCCTGAGGTATTTAAGCAGTGTGATTCTTAAATGAGATCCAGAGGCCAACCTAGAAAGAAGACAAAAAATATTGTGAAGAGGTAAATTAGGATAGAAAGAAGATGACTGTGTTGAGATGGTGTTTTCTGGGATAGAATTAGGAAAATTAATGAAGTTGGGGCCAGAATTGGAAGAGATGACAATATTAATGGTTTGCATGTCACTGGTGAGAGACTTGAACAGAGCAGAGAAAAGAAGTGAGTGGGAATGAGATTATCAAGATGGAGAACACTGGATCTGACTAGAGGTCACAAAATTAGAGCTGTTAAGAGCTACAAAGTTAGTAGGGGTAGGGCTCTCATGGGCAGCAGAATGAGCCTTAGTAACTGAAGTGCAGAGCAGAGAAACAAGAATTGGGGATAAACATGTCAGATTTAGGGATGTTCCAGTCAGTTAAGACAGAGGTGCCAAGTAGAGTGGGAAAGGAATCACAAGGCCATGGGGCTAGAATGGCAATGATCTTAGGGGAATATCAAATTATATAATCAAGGTGTGAGTTACTCACTTAAATTGGACTCTAAAAATTAGAACTCACAGATATAGAGAGTAGCATGGAGATACCATAGACTGAGGGGAAGGTGAGGGAAAGGAGAAAGATTTGTTAAAAGGTAAAGTTTCAGGTAAACAAGAGGAATAAGTTCTGGAGATCTACTGCACCGCCAGGTGATAAGTATCTAGGCTAGATATTGACATTATTAGTATTGCTAACATATTGAATTGTGGTTGTGTCTACACTGTGCTGACTTGTAAGTAGATAAAGAAGCAAGTCCAAGTTCTCTCTTTTAATCCAAGTAGTAATTACATAAGTGTTTGTGTTGCTATTTTCTCTATCTGTATTTTACTTTCTTGAAAAATAATTTTAAAATAAATTAGAAATAAAACAATAAAACACAATGTATTGTACAATCCAAATTACAAATTGAATTTTAGGTGCTACCACCAAAAAAAAAAAATAGATAAGTATATAAAGTTATGGATATGTTAATTTGCCTAATTTTCTCATTCCTCAATGCATGTGTGCATAAAAGCATCACTTTTTACCCCATAATTATGTATAATTATTATCTATAAATAAGTATAAAAGATGACCAAATAAAATAAAAATATGAATTACTTAAAAAAGATGAAAAATTGCTGTGAGAGGTTTTGAAGGAGATCTCTTTTTCTTTGAGGCAGACAACATGAATCTAATAACTTCCAGGGAATGGATATGTCTTTAAATTGACCCCTCCCTCCTTTTAGGTGATTTCTCTTTTGGCCACTGGAAAAAGGAATGTGAAATGTACAATTGTCATTTTCTCTTTACCTCAGAATTTTTATTGTCTCCATTCCAACTCTTCAGTAAATTCTAAACAACTAGTCAATCTTTTACTTTGGTATTGTTGTATATGAGTTATGTGAGTATGAAATGTAAAAAATTAAGAGTGTTAAATTATATTCTAACACATTATATTATATCTATCATAGTATTGTGATGACTACCAATAGTACTACCACTGTAGTAGCAGTGCCTGTAGGACCTTGGAACTGTAATCTAGCCTTTGTGTCCTCAAGTACCCAAATACTGCAATGATGGGATTCTCATTAACAAATAAATGGCTATAAAATAATTCTCATTAGTAAATGAAGGCATCGAATACAATGCCACCCATGGAGTAATTATACTGTGTCAGTTATTATGTTATGATGTGTACTGCAAATTCCTCATTCCTTTGTTTTTGAATAAAATTTTACTAGAAACCTGCTAATAGGTGAAATAGTCTCATCAGAGGTTCATTGACAATCATATTCAACATGGACTCCTTGGGAAATCACATTTGAATATAAAGACTTCAAGAAGTGTAATTTTGTGACTAAATCAACTGTTTTAATAAGTGATTATCAGTTGTTAAAAAATTAAGTGTGTGAACCAACTTATGCCATTACCACCTGAAAGAACGAACAAGGCTCGTTGTCAGAGAAAATGCCCATTTATTGAGGAACAGCTCTGCTTATTTATAGAGCCAGGGGTGGTTTGACGGTTATGACAGTTTAATGGTTGAATGGTTTGACAGTTGGCATGGGGTGTTTTCTGATTGGTGGGTAAGGATCATGTGAGTCAGCAGGGCTAGTCTGATTGGTGGGTAAGGATCATGTGAGCCAGCAGGGCTCACAATTGAACGGCTCTTCTCGGGGGATGGGGAAGTTAGTCTTTGGAGCTGGGGTGACTCCCAACATTCCACCCTCTTTGTTATTAAATGAGAGTGGCCATCTACTCATTCTAGCTGTTTCCTGCTGAGATGGGGCAGTGTGGAAGAATCAGAGAGGAGGGAAGTAAGGAACCCCCACAGGAGGGCAGAGAGGATCGGTATAACTTCAGGAACTAGATCAACAAAGGTTCCTTGCCACCACAGATCCATGATGATGTCAGTCCATTCAGTGTAGGTCTCTAATGGAGGTATCATCAGTATCCAGGAGTTGGTAATTCCTGAGGAGAAGCTGGTTAAAAGCTTGATTAGAAATCTTTTACCCACCTGACTCTGAATGAACTTTATGATAAAGGGAAGGAACAGGCACAAGGAGTTTTTATAGCCCAAATCTAATGGGGTCTCTGGGTCTGCAAGCT